GCAACACGAGTACCATCCCCCTTCAACCTTGGCCAGTAATATTTAGACTCCAACAATACTATGGTTTTTGCTCGCCCTAAATGTCCACCAAGAATTCCTCCATGAAGCTCTGCCATAAGAGTCTCTCTAAGGGAACCTGAGGTATGCATGGACGATTTCCTTTGAAAAGAAGTCTTGAATCAGAAAATCTCCACTAACCCCATTACTTGACTGAACTCATGTCTCCTTGAAATCAGCATCACTTGCAATACTTACCCAAAAAAACATCACTTGCATCACTTGCAATACTTACCCAAAAAAACATCACTTGCATCACTTGCAATACGTACCCAAAAAAACATCACTGCATCACTTGCAATACTTACCCAAAAAACATCACTTGCATCACTTGCAATACTTACCCAAAAAAACATCACTTGCATCACTTGCAATACTTACCCAAAAAAACATCACTTGCATCACTTGCAATACTTACCCAAAAAAACATCACTTGCATAAAGGTCCTTCACGAACTCAAACCTGTAATGGTGGTTGTCATGGTAGTCAATAAAGCTAACCTTTTGCTCAGAGCATTCTGTTTTGACTGCCTACCTTATGCCGTATGACAAAAGTAAACTCTAGAAAATAGGCCTACCCACCTAGCATGCCGCCAATTTAGTTTATGCTGCATATTAATGTACTTTACCACTTCATGATTTGAGAACAAAAGAAACTCCCTCCAGATCAAGTAAGGGTACCAATGCCTTAAAGCCTGAATTATAGCATAACACTCTACATCATAAATAGAGTAGTGTCGTCGGGTATATTCAGCTTTTCACTGAAACAGGCGAGAGGACACATCCTCTGGCTCAACACTGCAGCAATGTTGACATGCGATGCATCACAATCCAACTCAAAGACTTTACCAAAGTCGGAAAGAGCCAACACAAGAGCCTCGGTCATCTTCTGTTTCACTAGCTGACAACTTTCTTGGCCTCATCTGTCCATACAAACACCCCCCTTCTTTACACAATCTCTTATCACTGGTACCTTCTTTTTTATCAACCTTGATACCCTCAACTGAAACATAACCAAGAAAATCAAGTTGTCCATCATAAAATCGCATTTCTTCAGGTTCACATACAACAGCTACTTCTGTAACAAAACAGACACTAGTCGCAAGTGCTCCACATGTGCCTCCTCACCATTGCTATACACTAATATGTCATCAAAATAGACCGCCACAAATTTCCCAATAAAATGCTTAAATACTTGATTCACCACCCTCAAGATGTTACTAAGAGCATTAGAGAGGCCAAATGGCATCACCATCCACTCATAAAAACCCTCTCACATTTTAAATGCAATCTTCTGCTCATCCTCTGGAGAAATGTGCATCTAATGGTACCCCCCTCCTGAATTCTATCTTTGAAAAAACATTAGGACCGGCCAAAATGTCCAACATACCATCCAATCTTAGAATTAGGAAGCAATAGTCAATCGTAATTTTATTAAAGGCCACATTGTTCAAGCACATAGCTAAGTCCCATCCTTCTTAGGCATCAATAAAGTCAGAACAATGCATGGACTCATGCGCTTTCAAATGAACACCTTCTATAAAGCTCTGTAACCTGTCCCTGTAACTCTTATGTTCTTTTGTGCTCATCCTATGCGCTGCCTAGTTCGGTAAGCCAAACCTAGGAACACGGTTTATGAGATGTTGTATGTCCCACATAGGAGGTAACCCCTTAGGAAGTTCATATGGGATGACATCACGATAGTCCCTCATTAATGGCTCTAACCATGGTGGAGCCAAACTAGTAGGCTGCACGTCCATAGGAATCACTGCACATGACATACTAGTCTCATCCAATCCTTCCATAAACTCTGCTAAAGAAAGAAGATTAGCATAGCCCTCATCTGACTTGGATGTACTTTCCTTCTTGGATGGGCCTAAAACCGCCTTTACGTCATCCTTGTCAAAGGAGCAAGTGTTTTTAAACTCATCATGGATAGTGTGCCAATTATACTGTCGTGGTCTCCCCAATAATAGGTCGCACGCACAGATCCATAAGCACTTCATCACCCCAAACTTCATCCTTATAATGTTTCCAATCGAAAAAGAAACCAAGCAGTGTTTAAATTTTTTGCCTCATTACACTTCTTCAAGTAGGGTATTTTGCACAGCTTTGGATGGCTTTCTATCTACAATTTCAGCTTATCTACCATCTCTTGGGAAATGATATTCTCGTAACCACTCCCCTCAATTATGAGATTACAAATCTTACCATACATGGTGCACAATATGCGGAAGATGTTTGTGCACAACCAATTTTCTTCTTCTGCTACCCGAGGTGTGATCATGTTGAGTCAGATCACCATTACCCATGGTCACAAAATGTCACTTCAGTGTCATCTTCGTTACGCACCTTATCATAGATAGGGTCTCCATCGGGTGGCTATTTGCTATCCTCTTCAAAAACTTCCTCTGAAAGGGTGGCAATCTTCCTATTTGGGTAATGTGAGGAGACATGCCAATTCCTAAGCACTTAATTGCACAGCTGTTTGGTCGATTAGGGCAACTAGAGCCAGTCCTATCACCCATCTCTTCTTCCTATTTGGACAAACCAGCAGATCAAGACCCTAACCAAACACTAGATTGTCACTTTTTCCTTTAAAAACACCACCAAGAATGCACGTACCACCATGGGCTACATTCCACTCGGTGGGGGACTTTTTTGTTGAGCTTCAATCTTACCAGTCCACTCTTGTATGGGTGGTTCAGTTTACATACATAACACGCTATGCACTGCTCCTCTCTTTCAACCACACCACTTTGGGCCATTAACTGATGAAATTCATTTGTGTATTCATCCACAATCTTATCCCCTTCACTAAGGCTATTCATTCTTTGATAAAGGGACTGCAAATAATATTTAGGTAGGTATTTTTCCTTCATTTTTCTTTTCATCTTCTCCCAAAAATTAATTTTCGGCTTTCCCGTGCTTTTTCTTTTGGCACTAAGCTTCCCACCATGCCGAGACACCTTTTTTCAATTAAATGGCAATAATTTTCATCTTTTTATTTCTGGGAATTTCTTAGCAATCAAAAACCCTCTCCATAGTATCTAACCAATCAATGAAAGTTTCGGTTAAGGCCTACCAACAAACTCAGGAATATCCACCTTCAAACTGAAAGCCCTAGAGTGATGCCCCCCACATCTAGGTCTTCTATCTCTTTCCTCTTCACCTGACTCCTCATGTGAAGCACGACAGTAGAAAGATCACCCTCTTACCCATGAATGGTATCGGCGAGTTAGTGAGCAAGCTGTTGAACTTGAATCTTGAGATCTTCAATCTCTTCATCTCTAGCCTTTTCAATCTCTTCATCACTAGCATCAAGAGGCAGATCTACAAGTACTCCCCTTCCACAGCCCCTTCTTGCTGCCATGGGTTTGCCAAATTCACAAAGCCTAGGCAAAACATCAATAAATCCTAGGTTTTCTAGGCAGTAATCAGTAAACCATAAGCTGAAATCAGCATACCCTAGGCTTGATCAAAAATTCTTGCCCCAACTGACCTAGCCATGGGTTTGGCCATTTCACAAACCCTAGGAAAGAAACCAATATACCCTAGGAAAGAAACCAATATACCCTAGGTTTTCTAGGCTGTACTCAGTAAACCATAAGCTGAAATCAGCATACCCTGGCTTGAATATTGCAAACCCTAGGCTTGATCGAATTGTGAATGTTTGTGGGGCCCAAATAATTCAACGAAAGAAAAGATGCCCCATCGCGCCCCCCCCCCCCACAACAAAATAAAAAAGAAAAACTATATTAGAACACAAACGAAATTTAACTTTACAAATCTAAGATTTGGGTTGACCGGCCATGTCGAACACTCAAGGAGGCTACCACCTTCCACTACCTATTACGGTTTGGGTTTGGACTCAATAGTTGAGATGTTAACAATTGCAACACTACATCGCAAGTTCGAATCCCCTGATGAACTTCTCTACCCAAAAAAACAAAAAGAGAAAAAAGAAAAGTAACTATCCACTGCATAATTAGATCAACAACCCTAAATCAGGCCTGATCATGGCACTCATGAATGTCCCATTCTATATTGATATTGTTCTTTATATTCCAATACAAACTTTTTAATCCTACACATCTTGCAAAGCAAAATTGTAGCATTATTTATTTTTGTTGATTTAGAGGCCAGGTGGTTTTAATGTTATAGACTTTTTCTTTGAATTTGTGACAATAACTCTCTCAGAGATTATGCAGCACAGGCATTCAATTTCCCTTATGAAAGTATCACTTTGAAATTTTTAATGAACAGATTAGAAGGATCACTTTGAAGTGTTTAATGAGCAGATAATGTTTTAGATTAGGAACCTAACAATGTCGGAGTTTAGTTGATAGGGAAAATTTTAAAAAAAGAAAGGATTAGGACTTTTGGTTTGGGATAGTTAGTTTCTAATTCAAATAAGGTATGAATGGATTAGGAGTTTATTTGGTTTCCCCTTTAATCAAAATTTGGAATTCAAATTAGGTCCAGTGTTAGCAAGGTGGAACAGTGAATAAGAGGGTTATAGATACATAGAGCAGAAGGAAAGACAAGGAAAAACTATGGAAAATGGGGGCACTATCTTACCATACATCAAGAGGTATAAGAAAAAGAAAAGAACACTTGAAAGGAACATGATCCGACAATAATTCCAATCCTTTCAGAAGAACCAAATTACAAATAAAAAAAAAAAATTAAACGAAAAAATTTAAAAAAGAACTTCAGCATACAAATTTATCAAAAACTTCAAATGATTCCAGTCTCAAACATGTTGCATTCTCAAATAAAAGACATCCAGAGGCATGAGATATCATACTCAGCACATAATGAAATCCTATCAGATATATAGTTTTCCAGAAACCCACAAAAATGCCTTGTTAATTTCGATTCAGCTGAGGTAAAAGGGTAAAAGAAGAAAACAAAGGAGTGTTAAGAAAATGAAGAAGAAACCTGGAGCAGGGAGTATCCATGGCTGGAATATGACTGAGATCAGAAGAAATCACACTGAGGTGGTCACACGAGGTACGAGCTTCAACCCATCCTGAGTCGCTTCCATAGATTTCAGGCTGCAAAAGCATAGGAGCCATTAAATTGTTTAAAAAAGAGGAAATTTCATCAAATGACGAACAAACAGGAGTCGAGATTCAAAATAATAGAGTTTATCCAGGAAACGCCAAAAGGGACGAAATATGTTAGGATTTCCCAGAAATACCAGGGATGATACGATGAAAAGTGTTTAAAGCAGAGAAAAATACATCAGATGATTAAAAAGGACGGATAAAGATTTGCCAAAGTCAGTATCTCTCTTAAAAACGAGGAGAAAAATCTCGGTGAAGTACCAGGAATGGTGTTACCGATGATGAACTTTCTTCTGCCATGGCTCGAAGGAGCGTTGGGGAGTACACAGAGTTCGGTCCTTTATCAGATATAGAATAAATTGGATTGCGTACAATGAGACCGTTTTATCTTTGATACTCGGAAGTCTATACAACCATCCCACGTGAAATCAAATAACTTCGGGTGCGTAATTAAAAATAAAATTTTTGAAGTCTGAGCATTTAGATACGAGACGATCACAAAAAAAAATTATTATTTTTTTATGTTTAACCATAGAGTTTGCGAAAAGTCTTAGTTATCCCCCATTTTATACTATACAGGCACCCTCGACTAGGCGTGGCGATTGGTCGGGTCTTGAATTCAGACTCGGATTTGAAAATACATTGCATCCAATTAGGGCTGATCCAAAAATTAAAATATCTATGTATTTAGCTTTATTTTATATATTGGGACTCGAAAAATATTACAGAACCCAGACCTGACCAAACCTGGAATTGAATAGTATTCGCATCCAAGATTTGGACCCATCTGGACCATCCCCAAACTCGGCCCCAATTGATACCACACTATTAATACTAATATTTTTTTTTTTGCAACCACCCTCATATAAAAAAAAGGTACGTTTTTGGACAAAAATAACAAATGTTTTAACCCGTATTTCTAAAATACAATGCCCAATATGTGTTAGTTCGACACACAAAACTGGCTTGCATTGATCCAACAAAAAAATGTGATGGAAAAATATATTGAAACATGGCCGAAAGATGGTATTTTGATCCAAAAAAGTCAAAATTTGTACTTCAGGGTGGTTGTAAAAAACATAGTATTGAAGTTAATAGTATGGTATCAAAAAAAAAAAATTTGGGAGGCGGGGTGGGGGGTAGGGGCGGCATGCATGGAAAGTACAAATTGGGGGTATCCATAATTTTTCCAAAGACTTTCAAATAGGAAACATCAAAAGAAATAAATAAAGATGAGGAAAATATTTTGATAAGGTTGCAACTCTATCAAAATAAGTAAAGCCTCACCTAGATACTCATGAAAAATTACAGTTTTGGGCTCAAGAAAACTTTCAAATCGATCATCTCAATCTTGACTATTAGGGTTGTGAAAAAAAAAAAAAAGATTTCAAGCCCTAAAAATATTGTATATTATAAAAATTATATAGACAATCCATTTTCAAGTGGTCATGGATCCACAGGATCTGTATGGATTTTTGAGCTATAAATTTGATAATCAGTGGTGGCAATTTTTTTTAGGGCCATCATAGAGATTTCTCATGCTCAAAGTGTTTTCCAAATGAGGTTTCAAGGTGAGGCTTTACTTTTTTCTCATAAGACCTAGGCCTTATGGATACTGCATCCATAATATAATTGGAGATGGTGCTAGATTTAATGGTATCTATTTTTACCTATTTATCTTCTATTATTATTTTCTACACTTACTATATTATTAAGCCACAGTTGAAGACTTGACACGTGTCACAAGAATAAAAGGAGACTATGATGCCTTAAAAATAGATTTAGATGAAAGACATAAAACACTAGATTTAGATGAAAGACATAAAACACTATGTTCTATGAAAGAGTTCCTATTTCTTCGAGATTTTTAAAATATAAGAGTCCCAATTTGTATAGAACTTGGCTTCTGTTCCTTTAAGCTATAAATTTCTCTCTTATAATATTTTGAGAAAATTACATATGGACCTTAACAAAGTACGAAAAACATGGGATGCTCTGATTTTAGCCAAAAATTACCATAAAGGTCGGTCAACACGCGGTTTTATTTTTTTCCAAAATTACCCCTCGGTTTGAAGATGGTTGCCATCCTCGGACTGCATTTTTCTTCCTTTTCTTTTTATTATTTAGTGGGGCGATGTCCCAAGATTAAGGGGCATTGTCCAGGCAGTTCGAGGTTCAAATCCTCAGACCTTTCCTTCTTTTTTTGATAGAAAATAACAGCAGTCCGAGGATGGGAATCTCGTGCCACTCCCTGAATTGAGTAGAGCTCAATTTTAAGGTGGTCCAAGGTCGCCATCATCGGACTGCTTGTTATTTATGAAAAAGACCTCGGTGCGAGAATTAGAACCTCTGACCGCTTGTTACTTTTTAAAAACACCTCAATCCTAGAATTGGAACCTCGGACCGCTCTCTGGAATGAGCATTGCTTAGATCTAATACGGTCAGAGCTCTCCATCCTTGGACTACCTTGAGATCACATTTAAAGCATCAAACCTTCTTTTCCTCTCTCTCTCTCTCTGTCTCTCTCTCTCTCTAAACCGTCGATTGGCTAAGCATCTATGGGTGGATTTCTGGCACCATTACCGTGATTCCAACGAGATTCCTTTTTTTTTTATCTTTTTTACATTTTTTTCGGAACTTGGATTCTTAGATTTGAATCTTGGGTTTTTTGAAATGGTAAATTACATTGAGAAAATTAGGGTTTCTAGAATGTATAATTTCACCTCAAAAAAGAAACAAAAATCACTAAAAAATATTAGGGCTCCTCAACGCTCCTCAACAAAGCTTGAATTTTGTTTTTTGACACATTAGGGTTTTTTTTGTTTGAAATCTAGTGGAAAATAAGTGGTTTGTATGACATCTTTCATGTATACATGTAATTTAATTTTTTAATTTAGTTATATTTAATATTGTTTATTTGATTGAACATGTTGATTTGTACACTATATTGTTTATTTCATTAAGAACAGATTTATCCAATTGGTAGGACTGCCCCAATTGTTTCTTTTATATTTTTAAGCATAATAAGAAATGTTTAATTTACTGAAATGACATACTAGACTTATTACTTCCCACTTAGCATTTTACCGGTTTTAGGCATTCTCCCCTTCTTTTCTTTATAAAATAAAATAATTGGTTAATAAAGCTCCTATTCATTTATCTCATTGTTTTGTTTTCCAAAGATGAGCATCTTAATAATTTTTGGGCATTTTGTTTTGGGAGTACATGGCACCTTACAATGTTTCTCTTTTCAATCATTGGAGAATTTTTGTTTTGCTTAGGCGTCTTCTGGAATTTCAATAAAAATACAATTGGAGAATGTTTCTCGTTTTGATCATTGAAGAATTTATGTTTTGTTTAACTATTATTGTGTGTATTATTTATTTATATTTTTTAGATTCTATTGTATTATAGCGATGTTATAATATACAATTTGAATATTTATTTCATTACTTAATATGTCACGCTCAATTTGTAATAGCACCTACAAATTTACCGAAAATCTCCTAAAATTGTGACTGATGGTCAAATTAGTATGGATAAAATAAATGTTCTTTCTAAAAACACTGTTATTTTAGACGTTAGTTTTGGAAGTATGGAATATGAATTGAAATCTATTTCTAAAATGAAACTCCTGCTTACCTGTCTTGTTCTTCTTTTATTTGTTTATAATGGGATTGAAGTAGCACTTTAGCTTTTTCATGTTATGGTTTGAGAAACTCCAATTAGATTACTGTTAAGTTCACTGTAATAGAGAATAGTTCATTTCTTTTAGTTGTAATAAAAGATGTACATGTTAAACTTAAAAGTGCTTCATGGATTAGAGACCAAGGCTCTTACAATCTTAAGCATGCACTTCAATGATAACTTGTTTACAAGATGCTCTAAAAAGCAACTTTGCGGAGTTGTTGCCTTCGATTCTAGTTGTTGCTTCAATTAAGTTCTTTAGTACTAGTCAACTAAACCTCCTTAGTACTAGTCAACTAAACCAATATAATTGATTTCAATTCATTCACTTTGTTATGATCATGCTTTATGTAACTTATTCAGCCAATGCCAATAATGTCTCGTGCCAAACTTCTTATGATTTCATTTCATTCACTATGTTATGATGTATATAGTAAGTCTGTTTTTTAAAATTGAAATTTAGTGTTGTAGATAAGATGGAAAATCAAAAGAATAATGATGGGGGATTAGAGGATGATGTATTATTGTACCGGAAAGAGAATCACGTCTCTCAATTACAATTTCGAGGTAAGGTATAGACAAATCTCTTTGTTTATATCACTTTTTACGGGAGGATGGATAGTAATAAAATTCACATCATATGCACATTGTTGATAACAATATACACACTAAAGTGCCATTATTGTTTACAAGAGAGACCAAGGATTTACATCGATAAGTCCTTTAGTGTCGTCAGGGCATGACCCATTACAGAGCATCGTGAGATTGGTGAGAGGGTGGGGTTACTACCATTTGTACAACTAGCAGAGCTACGCCCTAGAAGTATTGGTCATCTGTTGATGGTGTCTATGACTGAAAGGTGGTGTCTCGAAACAAACACCACACATCTGACGATATGCATCGAAGAGATGATTCTTCCTCCTAATGAAAGCCCCAACAAGTTCAGTCGTTAGTGCAATGTCAAAGCCCAGCCAAACCAAGTATGTAGTAAAAAGCCCTTTTTGCTGCTACCTAAAAGCCAAAGTAGCGAGTGAAGCCAGCGAGCCGACATTGTATGATGCATGGCGGATTCACCAGTTGAATGTCACTGGTAATATCATGTTGATAAGAGATTGCGGATTCTAAATATATGGAAGGCTACAAATTTATCGGGCTAGTGGAGTCCTCAAAGTTTCAAAGAGAACTCTAGTTATGATGAAAAAAATCTAGGAAAAAAACTTATATAAATAGTTGAATAGCACAATTGTAAATGAAAAGGTATATGTGGTTATAGAAGAAGAAAAAACTCAGCAAGGGGTATATGATTGACAATGGATGTTCGAGATAGTGCAAATCAAGGACCTAGTAAGGATATTTGGCGAGGCAGAAAATTTGAAGTTTTGGGGCTTTCACAAGAGGATGGAAAGCTGGAAGGGCCTCATGTTTTACTTTGGAATCCATATTCAAAATTTGGTGAAGGAAGGTTTAATGTGGTTAGAGTATTATATATAGCTCTAGTGTTGATTATGATCGTTGCCATAGTTTATATATATTTTGTTGTTTTACTTGTTTGTAGTTTTCTTGATTGGCTTATGTTTAGCCTTGAAAACAATTGTGGAATAAATGAAATGGAATTTAAGAAGTACTTGCAAGTATTGCAAGCATATGCAAGGCTTTGTAGGAAATGTTTTTGCAAAGGATCTGAAGGATATGAGATCAAGCACCAATTGTACTTGTCGGTTGCTAAAAATATTTCA